TTTCTAAGTGCCTGAACAGTATCTGAACCTAAAAGATGTTTGATGAATAAAGGTACAAAGAGGCAGAGCTGAGCTTCATTCCTTTCCTTCCCTCAGGCATTCGTCCTGGAAGTTCATGTCCTGAGAGCTGCCTAGCTCTCCTCCTGCTGCTACCTGTCCTTAACCATTGAATAACATTGCCATATTCCTGTCCCTCCTTGAACATTACTCGTTCTATGTCTTCAATTTTCTTTCAATGCACAGAATAACATGTGGGCTAAGAGTATGGATTCTAGAATCAGACTGCCTGGGTTGAGATACCCGCTCCATCACTTACCAGCTGTGGGACTTTTGTCAAGTTGTTTTACCTCTCTGTGACTTAGTTTCCTCATCTTTAAACTAAACATATTTATAGTATTTTATACATAGGGTCATATGAGGATTTAATGGGTTAAAAACATATACAGCACTTAGAAAATGGTCTGGGTGACCCTTACTGCACTCAGGGAATGTTAGCTGTTTCTATTATTAGCTCAAATGTGAATCATCCATCTGTACACCTCTCTCCTCTCTCCTCCAAGCTCTTTCCTGTGGGTTCCATAGTTTACTGCTCTTATCACACTTACCACCTGGCTTCATAATTATCCATGTATCTGCAACTCTTAGTAGCTATTAAGTTCTTTTAAGACACATCTCATGTCTTTTTATTTTTATTTCCTCATTCCCTGTTTGCCACTCTCCATTTAGTATATGGTATTAGGCACAAAGTCGACACTCAATAAATTAATTCACTTAGAGGTACATCATTGACCATTAGCCAAGATGATGACCTAATGGAAAAATGATAGGATAACATGGTAATGTTTCTCCTCCCAACAGTGCATTTTTACAGACTGTCTTCCAAAATCAGTTGCCGACTTTGTCCCCCATCCTCCGTAAGCAGCACAATTATTTTTAATTTAAAGAAGTGACTAATTGGTAATGAGCAGTTCAAATCAGATAGGAGACAGTGGGACTGTGGTCAACCATGGCCTTCGCAGAATCTTCCATCACACTTTGTTTGATGGCTGCCTTATAACTTATTCACTGAGCCAGCCCAGGGGCTTCAAAGGAGACACTAGATTAATAAGACTGTTCAGGCGCAAACAAAATCAGTCTCAACATTTTAAAATATATTACATATATTATTTGCGTGTGTTTATGTATATGTCCATACACAGTAATATTGTATAATTTTAAGCCAAGACAAAGGCCACATTACAATGGATCTTGAATCAATAGAAAAATGTTGGAATTGCTGTGTAACACAGACAAATTGCCTTATGCTGTGCATCTTCAAGCCCGAAAATTGGATTTACAATTAGAAGAGGTGATTTTGAATGATAGTTATATGCTTGTCATTTAAAGTATCCTGAGGTTATACTGTCTGCAGTTTTTCCTGTAATCATATTTTTTGTTAGCTGCCTTGAAGTCAGCCCCCAACTCACGGTGACCCCTAACTCATGGTGATCTCATGCACAATGGAACCAGCACTGCCCAGTCCTGTGCCATCCCAATGATCAGGCTGCAGTTTGGACCATTGTGAACCATAGGGTTCTCATTGGCTAATTTTCAAAATTAGATCACTAAACTTTTCTTCCTAGTCCATCTTAATCTGGAATCTCCACTGAAACCTGTTCAGTATCATAGCAACATGCAAACCTCCACTGATAGACTGCACATGAGGAGCAATAGCCAGGAGCTGAACTGGGAAGCCAGAATTCTACCACTGAACATCAGTGCCTCCAGTAACCATATTTAGAGAGGTATTAAAAAATCGAGATACCAAGGAGGCTTTGCTGCTGCCTCCACCTTTAGTTCATCATTCAGTGGTATCCCTACCAACTGAAGGCTGACTTGAGAGTTTGGCAGGAACTTGATTCCTTAGGGCATCTCATGTTATTCTGAGGCTATTGTGTGCTACCTTTCCAGCTTCCCTTCTCCAGAATTACCAGAGAAGGGAGAATACAGAGGTCCTTTTAGTAGGAAACCATTTGCTTCACTCCAATTTCACACCTCTTGCTTGAGGCGGGATGATATGTATGGCTGGCAGCCTAAATTGCAGTGCCCAGCAAACAATCCTTGCAGAAGTAGAAGCGATTTCCTTCTACCCTGATTCTAATTCTCCTAAATTAGAGTCAGATATAGTATACTACTGTAGTATTTTTTATTCTATATAGGTGGAGCATCTCCATGCCCAGTAAGCATTACTCCTGGTAATATTCCTATCCGGGCTCGCAACCTTTTTTCTTCATTGACCAAGCATTCCAAGATGCATTGTGCTTCTATCCTACCCCATTCTACCTTCTGTTGTGTCATATTCAGGAAGCTGATTATTCTAGAGGTAGAATAAAAGGATCTGATGGGAATGGAATGGTAAAGAGGAAGTTTGATGCTGGAACTGACTGATTCAGAACATAGTTCTCATGTAAAAGATGCACGACCACCTGTTTTCAGAGGAGTGTGGCTCGTGTCTTAGAGTTAGACACAAACTGTGGAAGTGAGTCAAATTGTTCTCTCAGTTTCTTACTTCATGCTGTCCATGAACTATTCTGAGAATGAGATGTCTAGTGTGTGACCCAAGATACAATTCGAGATATTCCTTAATAAAATTTTTGTTAGTTTTAGTTATGATATTAAGTTATTTAGTTTATGTATTATTGTAGTATTTTGTTTTTGAATTATATTATTAGGTGTGGTATTACACTAGATTTTATCTGTTTATGAATATAAACTTAGGAGACAATATGTCAGGCTCTGATAGTCTACTAGTGTATTTAACAGGAAGTTCCACACCTTGTTTTTGAAACTCTCCCTTCCCTTTGGAAGCTATGATGGTGTAATGATTAAGAGCTATGGCTGCTAACCAAAAGGTCAGCAGTTCGAATCCACGAGGTGCTCCTTGGAAACCGTATGGGGCAGTTCTACTCTGTCCTATGGGGTCGCTATGAGTTGGAATTGACTCGACGACAACCAGTTTTTTATTTTTTTTTTGCCTCTTCTCTTCTCTTCTGAAATATTTCTTTTTCTTATACTAACTTTGATTTTTCTTTCTCACTCTCTTCTTTGGGTTTCTCTTGCTTCATCTTCTTTGGGACTCTGCCCTTGAACTTCTTCTCTTATTAATGTCTACTCTACCTTTTAGTATACAGTTGTTCCTTTGGCCTCATTTCCATGTATATCCTGCTAACTCTTAAGTCTTTTATCTCTAGCTTTGATGTCTCTCATGAACTTCAGACCTATATATTCAACTGACTAACAAATATTTCTTTCTGGATGTCTCTTAAACAACTAAAACTCAATGTGTTCAAGACTAAATTTATCTTCTACTCCCCCCTACAGCCTACTCCTTCTCAGTATTCTCTATCTTAATGGACAGCACCACTATTTTCCCATTCATCAAGGCAAAAGCCCAAGAATCATTCTGGATTCCTCTTTCTTTGCTTTTTAATTGTGTTTTAAGTGAAAGTTTACAGTTCAAGACAGTTTTTCATACAAAAATTTATACACACATTGCTATGTGACCCTAGCTGCTCTTGCTATAATGTGACAGCATACTCCTCCTTTCCACCCCGGATTTCCCATGTCCATTCAACCAGCTCTTGTCCCTTTTTGCTTTCTCATCTTGCCTCCAGACAGGAACTACCCATTTAGTCTCACGTATCTACTTGAGCTAAGAAGCACTCTCTTCATGAGTATTGTTTTATGTCCCATAGTCCAGTCTAATCTTTGTCTGAAGAGTTGGCCTTGGGAATGCTTTTAGTTCTGGGTTAACAGAGAGTCTGGAGACCATGTCTTCTGGTGTTCCTCCAGTTTCAGTTAGACAGTTAAGTCTGGTCTTTTTAGTAGAATTTGAGTTCTGCACCCTATTTTTCTCCTGCTCCATCAGGGACTCTCTGTTGTGTTCCCTGTCAGGGCAGTCATTAGTGGTAGCTGGGCACCATCTAGTTCTTCTGGTCTCAATCTGGTGGAGCCTCTGGTTTATGTGGCTCTTTCTGTCTCTTAGGCTAATACTTTCCTTGTGTCTTTGGTGTTCTTCATTCTCCTTTGCTTCAAGTGGGTTGGGACCAATTGATGCATCTTAGATGGCCGCTTACTAGCTTTTAAGACCCCAGATGCCACTCACCAAAGTAGGATGCAGAACATTTTCTTAATAAATTTTGTTACGCCCATTGACCTAGATGTCCCCTGAAAGCATGGTCTCCAGACCCCTGCCCCTGCTATTTTGTCCCTCCAAGTGTTTGGTTGTATTCAGGAAACTTCTTAGCTTTTGGTTTAGTCCAGTTGGGCTAACTTCCCCTGTATTGTGTGTTGTCCTTCCCTTCACCTAAGATAATTCTTATCTACTATCTAGTTAGTGAATACCCATCTGCCTCCCTTCACACCCTCGTAACCATCAAAGAATATTTTCTTCTGTGTTTAAACCTTTTCTTGAGTTCTTATAATAGCGGTCTCATACAATATTTGTCCACTTGCAACTGACTAATTTCACTCAGCATAATGCCTTCCAGATTCATCCATGTTGTGAGATGTTTTGCAGATTCATCGTTGTTCTTTATTGTTGCATAGTATTCCATCATGTGAATATACCATAATTTGTTTATCCATTTGTCCATTGATGGGCACCTAGCTTGTTTCCATCTTTTTGCTATTGTGAACAGTGCTGCAATGAACATGAGCATACATATATCTATTCGTGTGATGGCTCTTATTTCTCTAGGATATATTCCCAGGAGTGGGATTGCTGGATCATATGGTACTTCTATTTCTAGCTTTTTAAGGAAGCACCAAATCAATTTCCAAAATGGTTATACCATTTTACATTCTCACCAACAGTGTATAAGTGTTCCAGTCTCTCCAAGACCTCGCCAACATTTATTATTTTGTGTTTTTTGGATTAATGCTAGCCTTGTTGAGGTGAGATGGTATCTCATTGTAATTTTGATTAGCATTTTCTTTAATGGCTAATGATGGTGGGCATTTCCTCATGTATCTGTTAGCCGCCTGAATGGCTTCTTTGGTGAAGTCCCTGTTCATAACCTTTGCCTATCCTCTCTTTCTTATTTGACACCTGTGGTACAATGGATCACTTTTATATGTCTTTTCTCTCCATGGTTTTTTAACTCCCATCGAATGTCCTGGTAGGGCTATGCAAATAAGGCGCTTGTGGCCCACCAAGGGGATTAGAAAAGTGCATGGCATCTTTGTGGGAGTGGGACCATGCAAATAAGGTATATGGAATCCTAAGGAAGAGATTGGTCAGTTTTGACATCCTGCTACATTTAAAGGGAGACATGGAGAGAAAGGAGCTGTAACACAGAAGACAGTGAGAGACTGCGGTGAGAGCAGACAGGGACCAGGAGACTGGCATGTGGTGGGGTCACACAGAGCTAAGAGGTGCAACACTTGCCTCAGCAGGGCCCGGTGACAGAAGATTCCTAGCAGGGCCCAGCAGCAGCAAGACTCCAGCAAGGCCCGGTGGTAGAAGGTGAGAAGAAGCTGTCTTGATCAAGGAACTGCATCTTGAGTTGTTGTTCCTGTTACTTCCAAGTTGATCCCGATCCTGAGTTGTACTCTGTTACTTCCCTAATAAACCACTTAACTGTAATAAGCATGGTTTATGAGTTCTGTGAGACGTTGCAGCGAATTACCAGACCCAAAGTCAGGAGGGAGAGTAGTGAGGGGAGAGGGAGTATTGATGTTAGAGATGATGGAGTGGTGCACCAATTTGGAAAAGTTGGATATTTGGGACATCTTTAATCTCCACTCCATAGGAGCCAGCTTTGTGCTGACTCTTATAAAATAAATTTTTCACTTAATACACAATTGAGCCCCAAGTTTTGTAGATTCTCCCTTTTGAATATTTCTTGTAACTAACCTTTCTTTTCATCCCTACTGCCTACCCTTTGAGATAAAGACTTCATCATATCTTGCCTATACTACTGCAATAATCCTGACATATAAATAAGTAGTATATAAATATTTATTGAAATAAATAAATATGTAAATATGGAGCTAGAGGTTATTAAAAAACTCAAGGTTTGTTTGTTACATGAATGGATGTCTGCTCTATTCTAAATTTATGCAGCTGAGATTTTTGGAGCTGAAGTTTATATTTCTCCCAGTTAAATTTCATCAGAATAGCTTTGTTCATTGTTCCAGTTTTCTCAATTATTGTTAGTCTGTCCTCAATCATGTTTATTTTACTTTCCAACTTTGTCATCTCCACATTTTATAATTTTGCCATCTATTTCTTTATTCCAGACAATGATAGAAACTTTGGTTGGGAAAGGGCCAAGGACAGAGCTCTAGCCACAGGCCAAGGATATTTTACTCTAGGTTCACATTAAGTAAAATCATTCACTTGCATACAAATTTATAGAACTTTACCTTCATGCAGGACAAATTTCTCTATCTTGTCCACAGGAATACCACGCAAACTTTTCTTAAATGTCTTGTTGAAATCAATATAAACTGTGGCTATGGTATTCACTTATCTACACCTTCAGTGAGCCCATAAAAATATAAATGAGTTTACAAAAACTTGTTCTTAGGAACCACTTGCTGGACTTAAGACAACTTTCAATTTCTTTTATAAGACATTTTTAAATTTTAAAAAGCAATTTAAAATTTACAGAAAGCTTAGAAAAAGAAAATGGAAAATAAAGTATAACTCCGTAACCATTTTACAATGAATATCATTATAGTATATTCTGTCCAAGTTCCTTTTGAGTTCTTTTGAGAAGCATGTTTTTACATAATTAAGATAATAGTGTCTTTACAAATTTTTAGACATTTTTCTAAACTGACTCTGCCCGTTTTCCTATGTTGCCTCAGTTTCCATACTTCTCATGGATTTCATAATATTCCATCCTATGGCTAAATCATAAGTTTTAAACACAGTCACATAATGGCACATTTGGGCTGTATTTAAGTTATTGAATTATAAATAATGATATGATATGATGAACATTTTGTATATACAGATTTTTCTTTATTTTATATTTTCTTGGATAAATCCCAGTTGCATATTTTGCAACTGTATTATGTCTGTATTAGTCAGTTAGGCTGGGTTATGCTGTGGTAACAAATTATCACACACACACACACACATTTATTTAGCAACACTAAAATCTCCCCTTAAATTTCAATGGCTTAACACATAAAAGTTTATTTCTCACTCAAATCAATTCTTCTGTGGGTTTCAGGTCCTCCAGTATAGTTCTCTTCAAAGAGGTGACTCAGGGATTCAGGCTGGTTCTAACTTGGGCTCCACCATCTGTCTTAACAATTGGCCCAGCAGGGAAAGGACTGAAGGCTGCACAGGGGCTTTTTACTGGCTCAGCTTGTCAGTTCCACTCACAATCCATTGGTCAGAACTAGTCATGTCCCTTCACCTCATTGCACTGGGTGCCGGGGAGTGTGTCTTCCATGCACCCAGTATGAAAAGGAGTATCACTTCTTGGTGACTGAGCATTAGTGAGATCTACCAGTGAAGTGGTTTTGGGCTAAGTCAAATTTGACTAAGTTGGAACTACTATTCCTAGAATTTCCTTCCTCTTATGGTTACAGATTAGGTTTGACCACAGGGGATAGTTTCATGAGATTTGGAAGGTAGAAGTGAAGCAGCAGCCATTAAGCTCTGAAAGAGTAACAGGTGTCACTGCAGCTCACACCCTGATCCTCTGGCTCACCTTGTTGGTGTGGGCAGTACCCGGCCCACAGCTCCTTCAACTCCCATCAGATCTCCTCCTTCAGTTTCTCTGAATCCTGGGTCAGGTGTATATGCACCCAAGGTGAAGGACACCAGCTTATTTTTTAGGTAACCTGCGCTAGGGAGTTTGGAGGTGGTGAGAGATAGTTGCAAATTTCAGTCCCCATGGGTTCCAGTTTGCTTTTCCTTTCTCTTGCTTCTCTCCAAGCTTTCTTCCCAACTGTAACTGTTGAATTACAGTGACTTCAGGTCCACTACCAGATGCAGAAGCCCCAGCCTTCCAGAGCTTTCCCCAGCTCTTCACCACAATTGTATAATGTCTAGTCCCTAAAAAAAATTCTTCTTCCATATTACTCATAGTGGTTGGCTTCCCTGATCAAACCGGAATCAATAGTCATATATTAACTTTTTATAAAGTAGGGCTGAATTTTAAGCTATTCTGTTCACATAATTCTTATTTGAATATTCTGCAGAGAAGACCAGGATTATAATCTTTTGACCCATGTTGAAAGAGAGGAGAAAACAAGTTATGGTATACAGAAAGGAGGATACAATTGTCCAAAGTGAAGACAATTATAAAAACAAAACAAAAAGCACAGTTATAAGAACAGGGAGCCGTTTTGGAAGAAACCTTTTCCTATGCAAATAGGCTTTAGGGAGAGGCTTTGGAAGGATGTGCTGCAGTGAATCGTAGAGGAAACAGACACTTGCATCCATGGTCAGTGCTGTTCCCCATTGCCATTGAGTCAATTCTGAATCATAGCAACCCTACAGAACAGAGTACTGCCCCATAAGGTTTCCAAGGGGCGGCTGGTGGATTCAAACTGCCAACCTTTTGGTCAGCAGTGTAACATTTAACTACTGCGCCACCAGAGCTGCCCAACTTTCAGTTAGCAGCCGAGCCCTTAACCACTGCACCACCAGGGCTCCAGGGTAACTACCTGGAGTAAATTTTACCCCAAGGGCCACAGTTAAAAGTGAGTAGGCTAATCTAGGGAAAATCCATATTGAAACTGTAGAACCAGAATTTTCTGTTAAATTGAGTCAAACTGAGTTTGAACTAACAACTAATCTCTGTTCCTATAAATTTCCTACTGGCATAAAGTTTGATATGGGTTTCTTTGCTTGCCATGTGGCCGACTCCATGCGCCTCTGCTGTGGGGTAGGGGCACAGGAGAGGCTAAAGTACACAGATTCTTCATCTGAGGATGTGCTCTGCAGAGTAGGCTTTTGAAGGCTCTGGTCAAAGCACTCCCCTCCACATACATACTACTGCCTTTAGTGCCAATTACTCTCACTGGAAGAGGAGCTCGGTTGTCCAATGTCCCTCCCCCAAACTTTCCTCCAATTTGCAAAAGCCAAACAAAACAATTGCCTCACTTATTCAAGGAACTGTGGCACACTGGAAAATACCCATATGAGTAAAGAACTCTATTCATAGACTGCATGTGACTTGTTCAACCTCTGTTGACTTCCGCTGTTGCGTGCTTAGCTCTCTTCTGAGGGGAACTATCATTTATTTGAAGTACTGGATGTTTAGAACGAGGAAATACTACATGAACAGATGGTCTTTGCCCACTGAGCGCATGATGGCCATCAGACACGATGCTGATATTATCCAAGGAGATGTTGATAAATTGGGGATTTGACTAATCCCCAGTAAACCCTGGGCACATCAATCCATCAGGATTTGCTCATCAGTATAGTTCAAGCTGAGGCCCTGGTGGTGCATTAGTTAAGAGTTCGACAGCTAACCAAAAGGTTGGCAGTTTGAATCCACCAGCCGCTCCTTGGAAACCCTATGGGGCAGTTCTACTCTGTCCTACAGGGTCACTATGAGTTGGAATTGACTTGACGGCAATGAGTTTTCATAGTTCAAGTCACCAAAATTTTTGTGCCTCGTATCTCGCTTTGTAAAATAGGAGTAATAATGCCTTTTCACACCAATGGAATTGTTATTTAGAAACATAGTAAGATATGGGAAATCCTGGTGGCGTAGTGGTTAAGAGCCACGGCTGCTAACCAAAAGGTCAGCAGTTGGAATCCACCAGGCGCTCCTTGGAAACTCTATGGAGCAGTTCTACTCTGTCCTATAGGGTCGCTATGAGTCAGAATCGACTCCACAACAACAGGTTTTGGCTTGGTTGGTAAGAGATAAATAAAGAAGTTAAAGTATCACATGCAAAAAAGTTATGTAAATCCAAGTTTACTAAGTTATAAGTTATACTAATCTGGTCTTGACATATTTTATTAGAATCAAGTTTTTTGAGGCCAATATATTAATCCTGTACTCCAGGAAAACAAACGTCTGCTAGTGATATCAGAAGTACCGGCATGAAAATTGCATAAATTATTCAAGTCCATGAAAACACTCCAGAGATGATACCTGGATTTGTTTTCAGATTTCTCAATTTTCACATGCATTTTAGCTCCTTTGCTTGGTTTTGTGTGTATGTGGGTTTTTTTCCTATCAAATGAGATAGCTTTATCAATACTTATTTCAGACACAGCAAATGAGTGGCTAAAGGACCTCATTTGGCCTCACGCATGTTCTAAAATCTGAAATTAGCTGTCAAATTTTGAAAATAGAGAGCTCACTGTGGCCTCCTCAACTCCTTACACACAGCACACACTCCGTACTCACATAGCATTTCGGTTACTTGTCTGGCCTATGTATGCATCTGTGTTTGTGTTTAAGATGCTGCTCCGCTGCTTTGCATTGCATCATGTATTACAGTGTATTGGAATTGGGTTTGTGGGTCACACTGTGCTGCTCTGTCATTCCACATAGCTTTAACAACAGCTATAGGAACAAGCCATTTTATAGATGCTCTTTCACAAGTCATTATTCTCAGTATGTTTAAGGCCATTTTCTTGAGTCTATAATCTGTTACATCATTATGCCTGTGCAATATTTACTTACTTATGTCCAAGTCTACTGGATCCTGGAGGGTGAGCTCTTTTTTTGCTATTCTCTAAAGTTTATTCTTTCTTTTCCCTAATGGTAGTGTACTGGGAAGCTGAAGGCTCATTCTTTACTTTCCCTCAAAGCTTCCCCAGCCTCTCTATGCAATTTCCGTCCTGGGAGGTGGGGGGTAAGGGGTGGGGCATACTGCACTACTATTTGTTATAAAACAACTGTAAAATAAAAGAGCCACCAAAACATTGGGTTGTGAGCTGAGAATACAGGAATAGGCATGCAATTAGTTCTGATTTGAATGAAATGTCTTCCTGATCCGATCAACAATCTACTAGAAACTGAATTCTCTTTAACAACAGAAAAATATGCAAAAGAAAAAGCCCTTTTCTAAACTAACTTTTTTAAGGGGTAGAAAATATGATAAATTTTTCAATGTATACAATTTATTTATGAATATTATAGTGTTGTACAATTTTCTCACCTAAAAATGTTTTAAAATGATGTTTTAATGCAGCATAATTGCATTTAAACTCTTGGGTCTCATAATGGAACATATAGTGAAACAAAATCCCTTTGAAATTAAAAATTACAATTAGCAGAACCTGATCCTTTTAAACCAATATGGATTTTAATAACTAAACATTAAACATTTTCCTTAACATTAAAGTCAAAGATGATTTTATTTTAATATCACTATATAAATATAAGGGTATTAATTGATACTTGCCTAGGTCAAATATTCCAGTTACATTAACAAACATATATATATATATATTTGTTATATATATAAAACAAGTATAATTTTATTGAAAATGTCAAGTTTCCCCATTAGTATCTTCTCTGTTGTAAATTTAATGTCCTAGAAAGGGCCTTTTTTGTTTGTTTTTTGTTTATTTTGCTTCATAATCTCTAAGCATTTAGGCAGGAAAGAAAGAGGCATTAAAAATACAACTCAGAAATATTTAAATTTTGATCAATAATAGTCTTGTTAGCTGCAAACTCCTGGATACTTCCAGAGGAGAAGAAAAGCTGTACAACTGTGAGCTGCCACTACACAGTGGTTGGAGAGTTTAGGTCATTTCCAGATAGCAGTTACATACCCAATGGCTTACTCCCTGTAAGAGCAACTACCACTGTGTCAGAAACGACTAGATAGTTCATCATCTGAAACGCAGGCTGCTCACAACTGCACAAATCAATTTATTCTCTTGAATTTTAGTTCAGACATCAGAAATATTTTATTTTATGCTGAAATAGAGATGGGTTCCTACATTGGAATATTGTCACTATTTACCACTTTTCTCTTCTTTTCCCCACCTGTAAAACTTTCTGCCTGATTGAAATATTTTAAAGTGTACCCTTCACCTAATACTGCTGATAACAATGATAGTCTTGGATTAAAAAAACAAAAACAAAAAATGGCTGCACTACTTTTATTTGGGTGAAGCCATTTAAAAAACAAAATTGTGATACATTCTAAGGTTTTAATTGAGTAATGAATTAAGGGTAATTGAATGATAGCTGAATTTCTCAAGCATTTATTGAATCCTTACTAGGTTCAAAGTTGTCAGCTGAAAGCAGAAACTTCTCAACTTCTTATTATTTTTGGACCATGGATGTCATGGTCCTTCAGAGATCAGTCAGGAAAAATACTATCATGTCAAAGTAAAGAAGGCTTAGCTTGGGATGATACTGGGTCTATCAGTGGATTCAGTCCAAAAATTTGTTCCTATGAGTTCCAACAGCTTTGATCCAAGTCTACATTTTAACGATGTGTAGAAGAATTGGTTCAGGCTTTCTTTACATTCTCCACAAACCATGATTTGAGATTTTTAGCAACTAATAAGTAATATTAGACAAATCCAAAAGCTTTGAAACAGTGATTACAAACCCTATTTGGACCTTAAACCTTAGTGGTAATAAGTGAAAGTTTAAAGACTCTGGAGGCAATTTTTTGTTCTTGTGGGGCAGGAGCCAGAATGTCAATTTGCAAAGTGACTTCCAGAGACTAGTGTCATGTGCTTTGCACCCTTGCCACAAAGCAGTTCTCTTAACATTTTCATTATCTGTGTATTGCTCTAACATACTAAATGTATAGTCTCTAAGAATAATCTGAGCATGGAGGGTTATCTTCTCCCTCCACAAAGCCTGGTTACATAATTTCACATGAAAACAATTTGGGAGAGAGATTATTATCTTTCTACATTTTCAAAACCCCTTACTGATACAGTAGGAAGATACGCAATTGAGATGTTCCTTTTTTTGAGTGTTCAAAAAATTTCTTGGATTATTTTTCCCTACTGCAGGATTAGAATAAATAAAAGCACTCAGTTCCTTGAGGAAAGCAAATATGAATCAAATAGCTTTTACTCCATTTTCTAAAAGGCAATGCCACCATCGTAAGAGTCTCAATATTTCCTGTCACCTTTAAGCTTTTTCATTTATTAATCTCAATGTATTTTAATAGCAGACATATATTCTAAAAGTATTCTTCCCTGGGGCTTACTGTCAGCTTTTTCTTCCCAAAATCTTTTAAAATCTTAGACTATATATGACTTAAAACATGTTTTTAACAAGTTATGTGAAAATCCCCTTTGTGCTCCACATTGACAGAGCACCTCTGAGCCAAGGAGAAAGCAATCACGTTCTGGTTGTGTTGTCAGCGTGAGGGGCTTAAGCTCCAAAGCACTAAGTTCCCAGCGCTGTAAATCCTCTGTGTTTCGTGATCTCAATAAGGAAAAACTGCCCTGAGAGAAATACAGCATGGAAGCATTAACATTTTTCTTTCCAACCCTTGTCGTTTTATCTTTTTCAGTTATTTTCCTTAGTAAAACTTAGCCACCAAAGTATTACTTCCCATAACACTGACCCATATGCTACAATTAAAAGAAATAAATTCCAACCAACCACGACAAAGGTTTCTGTCGGCATTTAAGACAAAACTGACTCTAATCAGTCATAGCTGCCCCATGTCTCCTTCCCCCCGTCCCTCCCTGCCCTTTCCATCCATTTGAACAAGTTACTTCACGTTGCGTTAAGAATGTGTGATGTGTGCTTTCTAGCTGCTGCATTTAAGGCTTGGTCTTCTCAACCATGAAAACACAGTTAGAAATTGTTCTCAGAGCTAAACCACTTAACATCTTGGCACTTGGTTGTTTTTAACTTTTCAACAATAGGCACTGTTCACTCCCCTCCATCCCAGCTCTTTATTCAAGAATCAGGCAGGGCACTGATGAAAGGCTAGTCACGGCTAAGCCCCATGGTATCAGTGTGGTGGCATGTGATGATTCACATGGGGTGTGTTTGAACCCAGAAAGCCCAGTCTCTGCTTATTCTTCCTTTGTTCTGTCATCTGAGGAAAAAGAGAGAGAGAGTGTGTTGAACTGATTTGTTCACTCTTACCCAGTGCTGGTCAGCCATTACATTTTGGAATTAATATTTCCTAAGCTCCTGAAGTCTGTCTGGCATCATATAGAATACAGTTTGTTTTTTTTTTTAAGGAAAAATATTTTTAAAAAAGTGAATTTCCATAAAGAGAGAAAAAGAGTAACCCCTTGTGGTTAGGAAACAGGAAACCATGATTTTTTTAAAGCAGGGCTTGCTTGTCATGTAATCATCACGATCATCCTAGTCATTTTAATAGCTATCACAGTGTTGATAGTATTTTTAACAATGCTAACACTTCTACATTATCAAGGCATTGATTATAGCATTGAAATGACAGATATGAATGGTAATTTACCTTTCTAATGAGTTTAGTAATCATTATGACACCAGAAAATATGATTATCTACCAAAAAGCACAAAAAGGTTCTTGTATTTTGGCACTTGCTCCTTCCTTCCCCCTTCTATAGAAGGAGAAGTGCCTCACAAAGATGGGGAGGTGGAAAGAAAAGAAGCCTCTGCTGGCTGAGATGTTCGTGTTACAGCACAAAATCAGTAAGGTTGCTTTACCCGAGCTGCTACTGTTTCATCCATGGCATGTGAACTGGAAGACAACCCTCTGTGGATAGCAATTTTTCTCACAGGAGTCTCTGGGCCTCCACTTGCCCAGGTGGTGAATAATTCTACCCCACCTAGCTCTATCTCCCAGGTGCACTGACCTGCTCCTTCAGCTCCGCCAGCTGACCCGACAGCTGTTTGACCAGACTCATGGTCGATTCCAACTTCTCCTGCAGGTTCCGAATCTCATTTTGCTCACTGTCACCTTCATTGCTAACAAGGGACATGGCTCGCATCCGAGGAAACCAGTCCAAATTCTTCTCCTATGAGCAAACGTTCAGAACAAGGGATTAGTGTGGAAGGTAGTCTGAAGTTCCATAAAGAAGGGTTACTGATGTTCGTTGTTATAACATTTAAATCAAAGTCTCCTACCACTCAACTCAAAAGGTACTCTCTCTGGCCAGGACTGGGAAGGGGATTGAGGTGGGACGCCGTCAAGGGGGTGGGTAGAGGGAAGTAGACACTGGTCTTCATGGGCTAGGGGAAGATCTCAACTATTGGAACACACTCCTTAGGGGCTCCCAGGGAGGTCCTGCATGAAGCATTTCGAGCAGTGCCATGAGCCCTGTGGGCATTCAGTGAATCTTGATGAATGATGACGTACGGTCTGGAGGTGGGGAGAGCAGATCCAACTGTGTGGGTACAGCACAGGCATGAGCTGTTTCTCCTCCACCCCTGGCACAGAAGAGAAGGGGGTGGTGGAATAGAAGGGTGGTAAAAGAAATGTTTCAGTTCCAGCCACCCACACTAGTTCACCTCCCACTTCCCCAATACAGGCTCCTTAGCAGCTTGGTTGATGCACTCTGCTCAGTGAAGAGGGAAGTGGGAGGGCATGGCCCCAGGTTACTCTGTCTGCTCCCTTTGGAAACATTTTATTACAGTTGGGGCAAGGTTTCAGAGTGAGACTTCCCCAGAGGGCAAGAGCTGGTACTACTTCTGTTTTTCTAGGAGTGGGTGTGTAGTACGTGTATGCACACGTGTACTACATGCATGCATGTGTGTGAGCATATGAATGCATGGGTACTTGAGTGCGTGCATGCATGGACATGTATGCCTGTGTGTTTCTCCTCCACTACTGTAGAGACACTGGTTAGCCTAGATTCCCAGCCCCCTAGAAAACTCTGCTGGATTGCCTAATGTCATAGAATCACTGTGCATTACTTACATTAGTTTTTTTAATCCTCAGCAAGGCTCTTCAAGCTAAATCATATTATCCCTATTTTAAAGACAAGGAATAGAGGCTCCAGCAGTTTAATTACCAGTGTCAGAAGCTTGCAAATGGCAGAGCTGGGATTTGAAGCCAGGTAAGCCACTGATTGTGTCTGTCAGTCTGTACCTCTATCTACTTACCTATTTTTCTAAGTCACCTTCTCCCAACATTTATTGTAGTGACCTTCTTGCTTAAGATTCTTTCCACTCCAGAAAGGCCCTTTGAAATGGCTGCAACTACCTCTGCCTGGGGGACTCCTAGAATGAGCATCCACAGAGTGCTTTCCTTCCCAAATACGGTGGAAAGCCCTAACCTATGTATCTCTGGGCTTCAATCTCAATCTCTTCGGGTTTCTTGGGTTGCATTTTGTTGTTGTTGTTGTCAGTCAAGGAATAACAAACAAGTTCTTCATAGCTCCCTGTGATGATTAATTTTACATGTCCAATTGGCTAGGACCAATAAGCAACATCATAATGGAAAAAAGACTGAAGTTGTCAAGAATTTCATTTTGCTTGTGGCTTAGGACCAGTTGCCATCAAGTCGATTCCAACTCATGGCAACCCCATGTGTGTTAGAACCGTGCTCCATACGGTCTTCAATCACTGGTTTTTTGAAAGTAGGTCATCAGACCTTTCTTCTGAGGTGCCTCTGGGTGGACCTGAACCTCCAACCTTTTGATGTTTATAAAGCATTTAACACAGGTCTGTTTTCCATTCTCCCTACCAGATCACACACCTGGATCCACAATCAACACCCATGGAAATCAGACAATGCATTGCACTGGGCAAATCTGCTGCAAAAGACCTTTTTAAAGTGTTAAAACGCGAAGATGTCACTATAAGGTCTAAGGTGTGCCTGACCCAAGCCATGGTGTTTTCAATCACCTCATATGCATAGGAAGGCTGGACAATGAATAATGAAGATGGAAGAAGGATTGACGCCTTTGAATTATGGTGTCTGCAAAGAATATTGAATATACTATGGACAGAAGAATGAACAAATCTGTCTTGGAAGTACAGCCAGAATGCTCCTTAGAAGCAAGGATGGCAAGACTTCATCTCACATACTTTGGACATGTTATCAGAAGGGACTAGTCCCTGGAAAAGGACATCATGCTTTGTAAAGTAGAGGGTCACCAAAAAAGAGGAAGACCCTCAACGAGATGCACTGATACAGCGGCTACAACAATGGGCTCAAGCATAATAACGATTATGAGGATGGCGCTGGACCAGGCAGTGTTTCGTTCTGTTGTGCACAGGGTCACTATGAGTCAGAACTGAGTCAACAGCATCTGACAACAACAACAACATGGTTCCTAGTTGTTTGACCAAACATTAGTGTAGCCGCTGTCATGGAGTAGTTACATGTGATTTGAATCAGTTGGCCTTGGGTAGAGCAGATTACTTTCCATATGTAATCTAATATAATGTAATCAATCTATCAGTTGAGGTCATACCAGTAGAGAGTGGATCATAAACCTAATTGCTTCTGAGTTATTAAAACACCATAATAGACACAGAGACACACACAGGGAAGACAGATATCTATAAGAGGATTGCCTACAAGCAAATGAACCCTAAGAATAGCTGGCAGACACCAGAAACTAGGAGAGAAACTCACATGGCCAAGACCCTGATTTGGACTTCTAGCATGCAGAACTGTGAGAAAATCAATTTATGTTCTTTAAAGCCACTTACTTTTTGTATTTGTGTTACAATAGCACTAGAAAATTAAGACACCCCTCAATCCCAATGGCAGTGAAAGGGTTGATAAAGGATTAAGGATAAAAAATACCGAAGCATTTGGAACAGCACTTCAACAGCTGTAGCTAATTAGCATTTCAAAGGAGAATACTAATTTACTCTGACTTGCAGAATGACAGTTGGATTCATTCATTCAATTGGTCCTTCTACATCTATTGCCAGGTATTCAGGCACACATACTCTGATAAGACAGATGTCTGCTCTCAAGGAGCTTGTGGCTTAGGACCACTTGCCGTCAAGTCGATTCCAACTCATGGCAACCCCACGTGCGTCAAAACTGTGCTTCACAGGGTCTTCAATCACTGGTTTTTTGAACGTAGGTCACCAGGCCTTCCTTCTGAGGTGCCTCTGGGTGAACTCGAACCTCCAAGCTTTTGATGTTTATAAAGCATTTACCACAGGTCTGTTTTCCATTCTCCCTACCAGATCACACGTTAATGTTCACCACGCCAGAACAGTTTTGATGACACTCCTAACTCCCTACACTTTTGTATGTCTTCCTTATCTGTCCATCCACCTTGGCTGCTGGTGAACAGTGCTCTTGGCTGATACCATTACAAGGCATGATCTCCCACTTTGCCAGGCCATCCATACTGTCCCACAAATGTTTAATGGGCTCCTATTTGGCTTCCTCTGATACACTAAAGAAAATATTGAAGTTGTCAAAGATTTCCTTTTACTTGGATCCACAATCAACACCCAGAGAAGCAGCAGTCAAGAAATCAAACGACATATAGCACTGGGCAAATCTGCTGCAAAAGACCTCTTTAAAGCGTTAAAAAAGCAAAGATGTCACTTTAAGGACTAAGTTGGGCCTGACTCAAGCCAGGGTATTTTCAATTCCCTCATGTGCACGCAAAAGCCGGACAATGAATAAGGAAGTCTAAAGAAGAACTGATGCCTTTGAATTATGGTGTTGGCGAAGAATATACACCATAGACTGCCAGAAGAATGAACAAATCTGTCTTGGATGAAGTACAGCCAGAATGCTCCTTAGAAGTGAGGATGGGGAGACTACGTCTTACATACTTTGGACATGTTATCAGGAGGGGCCAGTCCCTGGAGAAGAACATCTTGCTTGGTAAAGCAGAGGGTCAGTGAAAAAGAGGAAGACCTTCAACGAGATGGATTGACACAGGGGCTGCAATGATGGGCTCAAACATAGCAAGGACTGTGAGGATGGTGCAGGACCAGGCAGTGTTTCATTCTGTTATACATAGGGTTGCTATAAGTCAGAAGTGACTCAGCAGCAACTAACAGCAACAACATTTGGTTTCCTTTGCCCCTTCTCCATGACACCTATTTCAGATCTTCCCCCTTTGCTCCATCTCCCTATCCTGTCACTGCCCCAGTTGTAATTATATATTTTTGTCTTTCTAACCAGAGTTCTTAAACTTTAGTGTACACAAAAATCACATACATCCCCTAAGAGGTTCTGACCCTGGTGGCACAGTGGTTAAGAGCTCAGGCTGCTAATCAAAAGGTCAGCAGTTTGAATCCACCAGCCACTCCTTGAAAACCCTATGGGGCAGTTCTACTCTGTCCTATAGGATTGTTATGAGTCAAAACTGACTCCGCGGCAACAGGTTTGGGTTTTTGGTTTTTGGAGTGGGGACGGAATCTGCAGTTTAGCCCCAGGAGTTTTTGTATGCACAGTGTACAGTCCACTCTTTGAGGAGTCTTAAACCATGGAGTCCCTGAGTGGTGCAAATGGTTAACACGCTTGGCTGTTAACCAAATGTTGGAGGTTTGAGTTCAACCAGAGGCATCTCAGAAGAAAGACCTGACTATCTACTTCCAAAAAATCAGCCACTGAAACCCCCATGAAGCACAGTTCTACTCTGACACACATTGCGTCGCTATGAGTTGGAATCGACTCGACGGCAACTGGTGCTTGTTCTAAGCCACAAGCTCCTTAAGAGCAGATACCTGTCTTATTAGACTTTGCATGTCGGAATACCTGGCAATAGATGTTGAGGGACTGGTTGAATGAATGAATCCAACTGTCATTCTGCAAGTCAGAGTAGGTTACTGCTCTCCTTTCAACAACCCAATGAACTTAGGTTCTATTATTATCTGAATTTTACAAGTAAAGAAACTGAGGCTAACAAGTAATTTAGCTGGGATCCCAGCCCAGATCTATCTGCATTGAGATCTGTTGGCAGGACAGGGGCCTGCGGACAGAAAGAGAAATATTGAAATTTAAAATTCTGAAGGTGGAACAACCCTGGGAAATGAAAGTTCCAGGGCATAGATCTGGGTGGGAGTGTCTTAAATCTAGTGGAAGTAA